TAGCATTTAAATCCTCTGTTCTTACAATCTACATTACTTTATACTGCTCGTGAATATTAAGTTCTTAGCCGAGAGTCCATGCTGGGCAGCTTCTATCACTACTTTGACTTATTCAAAGCCTTTCAATAGAAGCTACTTCTGCTTATTACCTTAGAAAGGAAATAATACATACAACCTTCTCCCTTTCCCAACTGCACAGCCTTCCTGACCAAGGAATACTCCTCAAACCTGAATTTAGATAACGAGGGTAAAATAGCCTCGGTATTGTCCATCATGTGATCCTTTGCAGATTGATCCTAGAGATGGATCCCCAAACATGACTGCAATTTTGAAGAAAGGCTCAGACTTTCTTTAGCTTCTGATCATGTTTGCACTCTTATATGTCCTTTCATTTTACCTAGTGGAGGAGGGGATCACAATTGGGTGTGTACTGGGAAACATGCATACTTTTCCTATTCAGAAAAAAGGCACTCATGGTGAAGAGTGAAAACTAGCCAAAATAAGCATTGAGGTGACAAATGTAAAATCTAGATGAGCTCAAGCACTGCTTGTTTGCCCATCCCTACTTCATCTCATCAGCTCCCCAGTTTATTAGTTTATTTGGCAAATGTTTAGGTTCTACTGAACTTCTGCCGTGCAGCACCCATACCTCTCTGTTCCATGGTTATCGCTTGGCATATCACTGTAGTAATAATGGATTCTAATATGAGCAAGGTTGCACATATTGGTTAAGATCAGTGCTTTTTTTGTAAAAAAAAGAGGTGCTGGAACTGTCAGTAAGCACACACACCAATCCCAAGCAGAGCAGCCTGGGTCCCAAGCCAAGCAGCTATCTCTCACTATCAGATAGCAGACCCAATAGCAGCCTGCAGGCACTATGTTAATGATGTTTGCTGCTGATCTGCTTCAAAATCACTTGTAAAATCCATTGAAAAAAAGGTGCCGGAACGCCATTCGCCATTCGGCGGTGCGTTCTATGTCAAAAAAAGCCCTGGTTAAGATCATCAGACTAAAAATGTCATACGTTTCTACTTATCACAGTAGCCTGTACACTAAAAATAAGGTTTCTATATTTTCTCAAAAAGCTAACAATATTGCACATAAAATGAAGTAAGTTGTGCTGGTATGTAAACACTTTCAAAAATTCACAGTCAGGTAATTCATTTATAAGGAGCAACCAAACATGTTCATCACTGTAAGCAAGGCCCAAGCATTTATACAGAGCAGAATACACAACCTTTTCAGCCCCAAGCGTCACATCTGGAGTTGCCTTGCTGTGAGCCATACATGTTACGCACCATGTGCAGACACTTACATTCCCCCTCCCTTGCTTGCTACAATCTAAGGATTGCTCTTTCTCTGTGTGCGCATGTGTGTGTACATCAGTGTATGCACAGGTCTCTCCTAGCCCTCATGGATCACCACTGAGACGGTGGTTTCTCCACTATGACTAACATGGGGAAAACAGTGCTCTCAGAAACAAGGAACATTTTTTCCTGATGTTTTGCTGGGCAATGGAGAAAAGCAGTTGGGGCCTTGCTGATTTCAGAAGCTACCTAAAGGGCCATGAGTTATATATCCCTGATATAAGGACCTCCTTTCAATTAATATATAATTCAAGACTGTAGACAAAATAAGTGAAGATGCTGAATCTCAAACAAAGTCATTAAATGTTTAATAACTAATGCAGAGCTGATATAAATCTGTTCTTGTACAGGATTGTGCTTGAACACCCTAACTCCCTTCATATTCTGTATTTCCAAAATATAGTTGGAACCCTTGGGCTTCTTCATATCCTGTACTTCTGTACTAGACTACAGTCATCCACAAATATTCTTCCCCATACAGTACTTCAGCAAGTGCAGATGTACATGTAACCCACATGTTCTTGCATCCTACTAGTGTTGGAGACTTGCATTGAGCAACTTGCTCCCAAGTCCGACTCAAGTTGCATAAGTGCCTTGGCTCAGACTCTGCTCAGGAGCAACAAGCAAGTGACTTGACTCAAGATTTCTGTTGTTTTTACCACCAAGTCACTCCAGGACTTACTGCCTGCATCCAATGTACATTAATCCTGGGGTGACCTTGGCAGACAGCATCTGCAAAGGACTGGAAAGCAGGCACAAACACAGCAGAGGCAGTGGGAAAGAGGAAGTTTCAAGCGGGTGGTGGCAGGACAGGGAGGACGGGGTTGCATTAGGGGAAAGGAAAGGCTTCAGCTGTTCTTTTTGGCATGAGGGAGGCAGTGGGAAGGAGAGTTTCAAGGGAGTGGGGCAGGGGGGAGGGGTAGAGTTGAGAAGAGATTTGACTCAAACATTTCTTGCAATGACTTGAGACTAGACTTGGACTTGAAAGTGAAGACTTGAGACTTGACTTGAAACTTGGGAGTAAAGGACTTGAACACATCACTGTATCCTACCTTTTCCCAAATACACACCCCCTCTTATCATGTGCTGGGACAAGGAATTTAAAGCTTCCTATCAGAAAGAGAATTTCCAGGGCTACCTTCCAAAAATCATAACTGGAAATGCTTTGAAAGACTTGTCCGTAGATAAAATGGCTTCATTCCTGCCCTGCCATAAATTAACTACTTCTAAAATCAAGCAGTCAAACAGTATTTGACTCCCTCAAGAAATTGCAAACTTACAGCTAGCCTCAAACAAACCTGTGTGCTGCAACCTTATTAACATTTCCATAGCCAACCATACAGTGTTTTGATTTGTATTCGCAGGAATAGGACATAAACTGAACCAAATGCCTAACCCATTGTTGACACCCTGCCCCCTCAAATCCTCTTATGGGCTATCAATTCCTTCTGGTAACAAAATTGTCTTCCCACAGCCCACACCCTTTCTCTTAAATGCATATATAGCATAGAACAAATTATTTTCTCAGCAGTGCAAGCATAGTGTTAGTTCTTGTTTATGCAACTTCATGAAAGTTTGTAACAGATGAAGTAAGAGAATTTATCCCAAACGTTCTAGGATAGCACATATTAGGTAGATATTAAACTAGAATTAGGAAAAAAACAATAAAGCATTCTTTAAACTCAGGAATAAGCTGAGATATGGATTACATAATAATATTTTGTCTCTTATGTCAGTATGTTTCCACAGGTACAGAGAAGAAAAGTCTGTATGCAAATTGTGCCTGATTTCATAACTTAGCAGAAATAGCTAGGAAGAAAGCTGTATCTGCATCAGTCTGATACATCAAATAGAATATTAAATGCATGGCTGGTGTTTGAAAATATTCTTGAATCAAAATAGATTTGATGGGCATTCCTGCACTGGCACTGCAGAATGCAGGAACATGACTATGGAGCCATATGGGCTAACTCCACCCCCTGCTGCTGATGAAGCCATGCACTCTGCCACTTGCCACATCAACTTGTCCCTATTGTCCATACATTTGGATGGCATGAAAAAGACGATATGCTTACTGATGGCAGACAGTCAGGCCCGTTCATGTGCTCATGTATTCATGTCCTGTTTATGCACAAATAGGAGTATATATGGACAGTTCCTTCTCATGCCACCTGAATGTGTAGACAGCAGGGAAACATTCCTGACATAAGAAGCAGAGGCAGAGCCACAGCATGTATCAGCAGCAGAGGTGGGGTTAATCGATATGGCCTTGCAACCTTACTCTGACCTCCTTTGAATATATGTGTGGAATATATTTGAACCTCCCCTTTATCTAATTTAGTAGGAGGCACTTGTGGCCCTCCAGCTGTTTTGCCCTAGAACTCCCATCATCCCTCACCGCTGCCTGTGCTGACTACAGTTGATGTGAGATATAGACCAAAATATCTGGAGAAGCACACATTACCCATCACTGATAAACCTGATTCAAGATGGATTTGCGCTCATATTTCAACATTTGTTATCTGTGTGTGTATGTGTTAGAAATCCTTGCAGAGCTAATCTAGAGAAGGGGTTTGTATTAAAAAAAAAAATGAAGAAAAGATTGCTGACATACTCTGAAAATTGACCTGTCTTGGTAATTTTGGTTTGGATTTTCCTATATTGGTGAAAGACAGTAAATTCATCACTTAATACCCATTCTCTAAAAAGAATTGCATATAATGAACTAAAATAGAAAGAATTAGAAGAAAATAGCTCTCCTCCTACACTCCAGCTTGCAAGAGAATTTAAATTGGACATCAGATGAACATCCTACTAGGTCAGCCCTGACATTGTGTATTCAATTGATCAGCCAAATACCCCAGAGAAAAAGGCAAAAAATAATATATTGCAACTACCACAGAGTACCCTTTCCTCATTTTATCCATCCTGATTGTGATTGCTAAGACTTTTAAAGGGTAAGCAGACCAGATCAAATGGTCTGGAACATACCACCTTATTCAAGTTACTTGCCTCCTCGGTACATCTCAGGCTCAGTCCCTGTCATTTCCATCTGGGAAAAGGCGAATTCAAGTCACTGACTGGGCCAGTACAATGGCCTGAGTGCCGGATGCACCTTCCTAAGAAAACCGCAGCATTACTTTAACATTAGAAATAATCCACACCTGGTGTTGTGGGAGAAGTCTTGTCCCGCCCCCTTTGTGAAGATGGCTTGTTTTAAAGGCATGCCCGTGCCTTTCCCCCAGTGTGTGATGTTTGTGTGTGTGTGTGTGTGGGGGGGGGGGGGGGTTCTCCGAGGATTTGGGGCAGCTGTGAGCAACCCCTCTATGGGGTCTCACACATCCTAAGGGTGCCTATGTGAACGGGAACCCTCTGAGGGGAGCTTTTGGAGTTGGCAACTCCTCAAGACGTTGCTCCTCTTTGAGCAAGGTGACCGCTGAGGGTCGGTGCCTAAAAATCAACGGAAGAAGAGGGGGATGCCTGGGAGGGAGCTGCAGAAGTAATAAGGCCAGGCGCTGAGGGGGTGGCGGAAGAAAAGGGAGGGGCGGCGACTCCTGCATCCCGAGCCACTGAACTCTCTTTTCCCCTTCTCCTCCTCCTTCCGCCTTCCTTCCTTTTTTTCCTCCCGCGCAGACTGCTCCCTTCCTACCCCGGTTACCGTGGCAACCGCCCGGACTCCCCCAGCCCCGCGCCTGCTGCGGAATCGCTCCGTAGCAGCAGTAGCAGCAGCCGCCGCTCGCTGCCGGAATCGGTGCTGCTCCCGCCGTCGTCGCTGCCGCCTCGCATGGAGCTCCTGGCTGCCGCTCTGAGCGCCGCCTGCGCCCTCGAACATGAAGGCTCACCAGAGAGCGAGGCCGCCGGAGCCAGCCCGCCCGGCAGGTGAGGAAGATGGGGAAGGCTGCGCCGCCGCTGCCGCTTTGCACAGGGCGACCCGCTCGGGCTCGCTCGCTGCTCCGGAGCGTGTGTAGGAGGCGCCTGCTGCTTTCCGCCTGGGCTTCGACGCGCACCTCCGCTTGTCCGGCCAATTGAACTCGGGCTGCTGCTGCTGCTGCTGCTCGCCTGGCGAGACTCGAGCGCAGGAACTTCGGCTTATCTTCGGGCCAGGGAGTCGCCAACCGCGAATAGGTGCCCCCTGTAGGGAACGAGGGACAGAGTTCTTCTCCCAGTTCCCGGTCCACACCGGCTTGATCACAGGGCTGCCCCGTCGACCGCCTTTTCCAGTCCCTGTGCGAGGTCCCCGCGTGGCGCGCTCGGGCTTGCAAGGATTAGTCGGACGCAACCCACTCAAGCACCCAGCCCGGTTTTCTGTGTACTTCGGGGTGGTCTTTTTCTCGGCCCCTCGCTAGTGCGAGGGATCACAACAAGCGCTGGTTCCTTGCTGGGGATCTGAGCGAAGGACTTTCAAAGTTGAGGGTGTGAATCCAGGGAGTGCTTAAGTCTCTACAGCGCTCGTTAAACAACAACATAGGAGTGTAACTAACTCCCCAAGGAAAACCTGATTCTCCCTCTTCCCCCTTCTTTCTGTCCCCGAGGAGTCATGCTGAACTCCATCAATCGTTTCCCTCCTTCTAATCGGCTTCTCTTCTGGAAGGCTTACTGATCTTTTAACAGGTAGAAGCACAGTGTGCTCAGCCTTCAGAGACTCAGATGGGCGATGAGGAGTAAAACAGCCTAAACGGATTCAGTATAATTTACCTTACTCCCTCGAATGCTTACAGACCATGTAGCTTCTGTTGTTGAGTAGCAATGATCCTGTCTTCAGGGGTCTGAATGATGCAGAACCCACCTGTTTATCTCTCTCTCTCCCAAAGTGAATCCCCTTCCATGGCTGGACCAGCTTCTATTCCAGAAGAAAACTCTGGGAATTCAGATTGCCCTGCTGCTTTTCCTGAGGCCTTGCAAATGATTCATCCCATGACAGCTGACTCCTGGAAAAATTTCATTGAACAAATAGGTAAGGGGAATGTTTAGGCAGCAATCCTGCAGACCACAAGTTACATTCAAACATGTGTATTAGTCTTGATGTTGTGTTTTCTTTAAGGAAAGTAACTAGAGGAAACAATTGAGAATTGGAGAATTGTCCCTTCCCCAGCCTGATTTTGCCCTTCCAAACACAGATCTTAAGCCCCATGGGCTGGGATGAGGTGAACGTAATTTTGTAGTTCAAGTCTGTTGCACAAATTCCCTGATTTGTAGCAGGGAAACAACAGGCAGGAAAGGGGAAAGTCCCCCACCTCCAAATCACTGCTGCTCAGTTTCCGCACTGCCAACATGGCTTTGCTTAAGCAAAAAGGGTACGGGACTATGCATGTGTGCATGTAATGTGTACTTAGTGCCTAAATCACATTCAGCTTAGTGGAATTTATTTCTGCATAAACATGCATAGGATTCATCTGTTAATGTGTTATAGTAAACATACAGAATGGAAGAGTCTGGCGGATGGCAAGTCTACCACTTTCAATAAAACTAGGTGATGCTAATCTAACTATCCATATTTCTATGGATGAAGTTAACAAATATTTAAAATTAACAAACTTGGACAGAAACATGAGGCTTACAAGTAGAATTCTTGGAGGACTGTTTTTCCTGTTAAAAAGCCATTTAAGATCGTTCTGAAGTATTATTACTTAATTAACAAAATATAACACAAATAGGCATTGATGTTATCTTTACTGCTCCTGCTTCAGATCTCCCAGGTAAAACCATAGTCCTTTAAATGCTCTTGACAGTTTCAGCAGTCACACAAGAACTGGACTGTCCTTTATTTGCTAGCTTCTTAGCAGTTCTCAGTCCAGACTGTAGGTCTCTTCCTCATACTTGCTGCTACTCATAGATGCCAGCAATTTTGCAGTGCAGTAGTGTTCAGTATAAATAAGGGGGCTCTCAAAATGGGGTCAGAAGCATCCCTTCTTGCATTCCAGCCATTAAACATATTTTAATATTATATTTAATAGTACCTGGATTATTTTAGTAAGGTCTGCTGCCTAGATGTAGGTCAATTTTTCCCTCTGCTTGCATAATTTTTTGCTTTTTCAGTTTTGTTATTTGTTTATTACCACTCTTGAACTTGAAACTACGTGTCAGCAAATAGCTTAGGTATTTTTTCCACATAGGTGATATATATCTGGTTTATCATAGGTGATATATATCTGGTTTCAGCTACAGCCACTGAAGAGTTATTTCTCCCCATCTTTCCATATTGTGTCCTGTTTAATGCTAAGCCCAGCACAGTGCTGATTATTAACAGACATTTCAACTGTTCCTGAAAACAAAGTAGTTCAAGTGGAATTATGTAAGTATCTTGCCACCAGAACAGCAAAACACATTTAAGGGCAATCTCTCCTTTTCAGTTAAAAGTGTGGGAAGCTAACAGGAAGGTACATGGTTACCAAGGTACAGTTTCTCCTATTGCTATTTTAATCCCATTTTGAATACTGTTCCAGAGAGAAGTGATTACTGAATATACTCACAGTATGAAAAAAGCCCCAAAACATTCCTTATGGCCACTTTCTCATTAGAAATGGTGTGTATCTAAGTTTATAAACGAATTATAGATGCAGTTCTATATGAAGTCCTAAAATGCTTATTACAGAGGTATGTACAAACAGTTAATGAGCTATAATTTTGATTTATAAAATAAATATACTTTTGTGTTTGGTGTTAAGATTGTGCTTAACAAAACTGAAGAGGAAAATAAACTGCAGTTAATCTTTATATGGAATAAATGACTCAGAAGAAAGTCATGCATACCACTATGGTTTTAGAACTTATACTTGTAAAAACTGGTAATTGTTATTTTTATTTGTCTGAAATAGGACTTACAATATTAGCTTTATGGTTCGCACAGATACGGAAACTTTCAGTGATTCATGGTGCAAGATTTCAATCTTTTCTTACAGGTTGAATTTTATATTATTCCTGCATATTCTTTCCTTATCTTGAAGAAATTGAGGGATTTGGTTATTGTTTAAAAGATAATTAGAAAATTATGTATTATTGAATTGTATTTGATCTTTCACAGGTCTTTGGTGATAAGTGTTTCTGATATTTCTGCACTGTCTGATAAGCATTTACAAGATAGCACTTTCATTGTTACTGTTTTGAAGTTAACAAAATACATTATTTGAGAATGTCATAGCTCGTTGAAAATTTTGGTACCTTACAGATTTTCTTTCTACAGTCTTTGCTGGCCAACATGCGTGTGAAACTGCTAGATCAGATCATGTGACAGTTTGAAGTTCAGTGCCACTAGTATGGTGATGACCCAGTCAAGATCAATAATGTAGAACAGACCATGAGCCATTGATAGTCTGGATGGCTTCCAAACCATGGCTTGCAAATTCACATCAAACCATCGTTTTCAGTTTTCACTTGAGGCAATTCCTAGTTAATGCTACACATAATTTGTCCAATTCAGGCATCACTGCAAACTAAGGTATTGAAAATAATAGAAGGGAAGAAGAATTTTCAAATTAAAGAAAGGAGACAGAGGAAACAATGCTCAAACTTGCAACATATTCCCAGTCTCTAAGGGGAAGAGCCAGTGGCCCTAGACATCATCTGAGGGGCCATAGAATACTTTGGATTCTCAGCTTCAAGGTTAGAGTTCTTTTATCCCCCTTCTTCCTTCACAGCTGAAAAGGGAAAAACTCTGCTGGCTGCCTCTCTGAAGTTGGGAACTTGATCTCAAAGAGTGGGGGAAGGGAGCATTCTGGGAGGTAAGGAGGAAATGGAGCTGCATATGGCAGGATCCAAGGTAATCTGTGTACTCTGCTGGCTCCTTTCCTCACTCTTTAAAGTGCCCCAGCTAGAATTCCAAAATGGCCATCTAGTGAAAATGTAGAGTGGGAGGTGGGGAGAAGTGGGGAGAAGTGGGAAACGCTTCTGCCAATCCTCCTACTCTGCATAGGATGCTTGTAAACCTCCAAGTTTGGAGGACTGTGAGCACCAAGATAGCCTTTAGGTCAATTTAGCAGAATGTAAGTTTAATAAATAAATAAACCTAATGGATTGCAGCTATAATCATTGTTCAGAATTTTTAGCAGTGTGGTATCTGAATTAGTTTTCCGTTGAGCTGCCCTTGGTGATTGTTTGGTGGTAAATTCCTAATATGAATACATTGGTTTAGTGCTTGGTGTAATGTTTTAGGAATACTGTCAGTAGGATAACTTCAGGGGGAAAAAAGAATGTAACTGTATTCAGTGCTGTTAGATATATTAATGAAGGATTTCTGATATTTATCTGGGTGACTCAGTGGTGTCCTGTTTGGATCAGAAATTGTTTCTGCCTCCTTATATGTGATCTGCCCCCCCCCCCCCCGCTTGGTTTTCCTCTGGTCATGTACACAACTAAAGAAAAGCAATGGATGATAGTATCGTATTATATAAAATATCCCTTGAAAATAAAAACTGGGTGATGCTTGCTGATAGATCATCCTCTCTGGGACTAGGAATTTTCCCCTAGGTCGTACAGGCTTGTAGTGCTGAGTCTGGCATGTCTGTTTTGTGTTTCCTAGTATTTTTTGCTTAGATCTCTTGCTTGAGTCAGCTAGAGCTACCTGCTATACAGTGGTCTTTCTGTGGCTTGGTTGATATAGATCAAAACACAGTCTTGGAGCCTGTATGAGTATGTGGGAGTCACCACCCTAACGTTGTTTCAGATTACAACTCTTATTTGTCAAATTCTTCTGAATGAAGCTAGGGTATGCAATATCTACAGCCTGTGTAATAACAGTTACTGTTCTCAGGTATGGGTGTTTGTTCCATAATTATCTGTGTACTTTGGTACTTTCTAGGTCTTTTGTATCAAGAATATCGGGATAAATCCACACGTCAGGAGATTGAAACTAGGCGACTGCAGGATTCACAGACGGATATTGAAGAATGCTCAGCTTCTGAAAAGACACCATCAGAAACTGAACCAATAAATACTACAGAAAGCAGGGCTGTTCCCCAGATTAACTTGCTCAGGAATTCTACTTCCAGATTTAATTTATGGCAAGATCTTCCAGAAGTCAGAAGCAGTGGGGTTCTGAATATTCTTCAGCCAGACGAAGTCAAACTTCAAGAGGTAATAGGAACTTCATTGGGGGAGGAATATTGCATGGTTGGCATTTGACTGAAAGCTATTGTAGTCTGATTTTTTCCATGCAAAATTTAAAATTAAGCTTATTGCTTTTAGTAAAGAGACTCTTTTACTAAGTTTCTTTCCTTTTTAAACTAAGTTAATTTTGAACTAAGTCCCTTTCTTTTAAAAAGTCAATGGACATTCCGTTCCTTCTCAATTCTACCTTCTAGCTCTCAGAACAGAATTGTGCTGCCAGCTAATTAGCAACGTCAGTGGAAGACAGACCCATGGCTAGAGTTGTTAGAGATATAAAAAGTGATAATAAAACTGTATCCGGAAGCAGGAAACCAGGCAACCAAGCCTAAAAGGGACTACTGAAAAAAGACAAATTTGCAGAGAAACTAATGAATTAATTGCATCAGTCTTAAGTGTGAAAGGTGCTGAAGCACTAACGTTTTGTTTCCGGCCTATAGCTTATCTAAGCTCTGCCCGAACAACTATGTGCCAAACAGAACAGCAGCTTCACTGGAAAAGGGTGACATTCACCCAGAGTCTTTCCAAATCTCAAATGTTAATTGCTGATCTTTTAACTAAAATAGATCAGTAAAACCCTGCTTCATTCCTTGAAGATAGACAACAATGTCATACCAATTTTACAAAAGGATTCCAGGGGATATGGGAAGTTACAAACCAGTTGGACATGTTCCGGCTAGATTGGTAGAAAGCATGATTCAGGGCACAATCCGTTGCATGTTTAGACAGAAGACAGTAATACTCCCAGTATTACCCAACCAGCATTACTAACTGGGGATTGCTAGGAACGGTAGAACTTTTTGTCCTATCTAAACATTTGAAGCATTGCACTCTAAATGCTTAGGTTTGTTCAGGACACAGTCCTAAAGCCTCCCAACATTGTCTGGTGGAGCTGTGTAGGATTATTTAAAACCCCAGCTCTGAGGTTCTGCAGACTCAGAGCTGGGACACCAAATGCTGAGGACCCCTTGTAGCTGGCACAGAAATAACCGCAGTGGCTGCCTGTCTGAGGTCAGAAATCAGCCTTGAAGAAGAGGAAAAGTAGTATGGTAGGGGACAAGGAAGGGAGGAATCTAGACATTGCCCCAAATGAAAATGGCATCTGGATGTTGTGCAGTGGCAGATACTGCTATTGCTGTGCCTAAAGCCATGCATTGGATGCATGTAAACCTCTGAGTTAAGCAGCTTTTGTGCATCAAATGCAGAAGGCAATGGAATGCACTCTTATTTATTAATGCAAAAAAATCTCCCGTGCCATCTTTTGAAACTCAAACAATAATATACAGCAATAATAACAACAGAAAAAGCAAAAACTAAAGAGCCTAGAAAGAAAACCAATCTCATAAAAATGAGGCAGAATAAATTTGTTAAGTATATAGAAGAAAAGGCCTTTTTGGGGGCATGGAGGTGGACAAAGAAAGGGAAGTCTTGCCACACCAACCTGTTAAAATATTTTTGAAAGAATCCAGAAGTTTATAGACAGGGATAATCTAATGGCTACTTTTGGAAATGTGTGTATAATTTAGTTGCATCATTACTGAAAAAGGAATATTGCGACTGGTAATGATACATTCTAGAACATTTTATTGTGGTAAAAAATTGTTGGACTAGATTCATCATTGTTCTGACTAAGCATGGGATTTTTAATGATCTTGTGCAAATTATGCTGCACAACAGCATAAATGCAACGTAATTATGGAATACGGTTCTTGGATTAAGAGTTCAGCATCGCAGGAATTTCAGCTTTCATGCCTGCTTATTTCTACAGAAGATTTCTAGCTCTTATGCTGCTAAGAAAAAGTTTGATGTTGGCTTTTGTTGGCTTGATGTTGAGTTTAGCTTCCTACATGGAATGTAGGTTATTTTCTGATGGAGAGTGCACATAATGCAACTTTAAGAGCATTGCACTTCCCATTCCATTCTCCTCTTCAGGTGGGGTCACAAAGAGGAAATTGGAAGCTTCCACTTCCATGTTAGGTTACATGTAGTTTAGCATGTCACCTGAATATTAAACTGGAGTTAATTTTAACTATGGTACTGAAAACAAACTAGCTCATGAGCTGGCTTGCTTTTAGTAAACACAGTCAAAGTTAACCACATTTTGTCTAGGTTCAGATAAAACAGCAAGTTGCTATTAGGTGGTGGTGATGGTGATAGAAGCAGCGCTACTCCCAGAAGCACCAGAAATGATGGTGGGAACTCAATGAGAGACTAGGGGCTTACATCTGAGATAATAGTCCTGTATTCCTTGCATTCATTTAAGAAAGTAATAAAATAAAATATAAGGCAAAATATGAAGGTTCTTTTCTCATTTTGAGAGTAACTTGCATGTTCCTATCTTTATTGTTTTTCAATCCATCCATTATTGCATAACTGTGATTAACTATTTGGAAAGTTGTAGTTACATGGCATCAAATCATCTCTGATTTATGGCAACCCTAGGAATGAAAGCCTTTTGAAATGTCCTATCCATTATACCCCTGCTTAGCTGTTCTAAATTCAAGGATGTGGCTTCCTTTTGGAGTAAATCTAACTCTTATTTGGTCTTCTGCTTTCAACTTTTCCTAGCATGATTGTCTTCTCTCATGAGTCTTGCCTTCTCATGTTGTGTCCAAATATGAATTTTGCCACGTTTGCTTCTAGGGAAAGTTTTGGCTTGATTTGATCTAGGACAGCGGTTCCCAGACTGTGTTCTACAGAATCCTATGGTTCTGCAAAATCCTTGTAGGGGTTCCGCAAAAAATCTCAAAAATCAAATTTAAAACAGATTTTAAAATAGAACCACAATTGAG